TGTCTCTGATCCATGATAGCCAAGAATTTGAGTTTTCCTCTTCCTTTATTTTCTCTGCAAATAGATAGATATTTGTAATCCAAATAATTAAAAAAAGATTTTTTTCCTGAAATTTATAATTCTCTCTTTGTTTACAGCCCAGATTATTTTCTTTTTTTGTCACAGCTGTTCTTTGTTGTTAAAGCTTTGAAGGTCACAGACACAGATTAGCTTTTCCCAGATTTTCCCAGTCTTATATTAAAGTCATAGCTGTCATAGTCTTCATCTGCCACTAGGTGTTAGCCACTATTTGTTTTTCAATTTCCAAAATGAACAATTATCTTTAAAATGAGAGTCTTAGCCATTCAAACAATTTTAGATTTATCCAGATTTGAGTTTTTGAGTTTCAGGTTTTATATTTATTTCACCTCCATATATTCTGATCCTCCCTAAAAAGATTAATTCGCCACTTCTGCATAGTATAAGGGTGGGGCAGAAATCCCCCTCCTTCCCTTTCAGAGGTATTTTGCTTCTTGGGGATATTTTCCAGGAAATTAAATGTAAAATAGAAAAGAGAAGATCGAATTCCTCATCCAGTTTCAAGCACGCTGTTCACAGTTGTGCTGGTTAGTGCTTTTGGACTTCAGTTGCTTGTAGCTTGGGCTGTTCGATGCAGTATGGCCAGCCTTTCTTCTTTCGGGTTAGAAGGCTTTCCCCAAGTCGAACGGAATGGCCACCGCCTTTCCAGAATCATTGGAGCAGCCTTCTTTCTTCGTCGTCTCTCTGGGGTGACTTAGACCCATTTAGGGTCCCCTGGCAGGGCGAAATCAGCCATGGGGGTGCAGAGAATCTGCAGGCCCGTGACCAGTTGCTACCGTGCAAAACCGGAAGTCCTCAAGATAGCATATATTCTTCTTGGCTAGATTTCCAGTATTTTAAATCTGTCAAATTTTTGAGAACTGTGAACATAGTTCATGCAAAGCTTATCAAAAGAATTATTATATAACTTTATAAGCATAAATATATAGCTGTATTCCATAATGCATTACTGATAAATTATGTTTGTTAATATTTAAACTTTGTTTTTTTAAAAAAGAGGCAATGAAAAAGATTTCTGTTGTTATTTTATGATACTCTTTTTTTCAGCCGGCCCACTTTGATTAAACGGTCATATTTATGTTGAAAGGAACACCTTATTGGTTGTTTGGTGTTTCGCAGCAAAAGTATCATTGCACTTTCAGTTATAACACTTATTAAGGTGCCAGTCCATCTCTCTGAATTCTTATGAAATAAAAATTTCAATCATTTTTGTTGGAAATAATGTTTGAACTGTGTTTTATGCAATTTCTTTTGTGGGATATGGGATGGTAGTTTGAGAATTTTTAAATTTGAGATTTAAAGAATTTAGATCAGATCTGGTTTCTGTCCTGTGTAGTAATGTACTGGTTATACTTTTGTGATCTCATCACAAAATGCTTGTTTTCTTTTTTTCTTTTTGCTTCTTTTCAAACTACCTGGAGAAGAGTAGAAGAAACTGTGAACTACGTATAGTCTATTCTTCTTCAGTGGGAAGTTTGGAGAGTTGGACTCTCAGATTCTCAGAATAGAATCTGTATTTGTTGCAAATTGTTATGTTTTAACATAAAGATGTACCTTTAAATATATGTAAAAGGAAGATATATCTGCACAGTTAATTACCGCCACCTTCAGTAAATTTATTACTTCAGAGTAATATGAAATTCCATGACTGCTTGACCTTGATAAAGAGAAATAAGACAATGTTTGTTCTATTACTTATTTATTAATTTGATTTAGATGCCAACGACTAGAAAGTAACTCCACATTTCAAAAATACACAGTGTAGGTATGTTAGTCTTTTCTTAGTAGTCAGTAATATATTCCATACAACACTTAGTTGAGCTTTTATATTAAGTTGATTTGATACCTTGCCTTCTGCCCTTCTGGCAAAGAAATTCAATAGTACCCTTATATAAGAGTACATCTACCATTGTCCTCTGAGAGAAATTGAATTGATTGCGCACATCTTCTAATCTCCTTTTTATTCACATGTGGTACAAAGTTTAATTATAGTACTTTTAACCTCAAGGCATCACAAAACACCATCACAATAATCTTATTCTCTGCCTTTAACAGATACCGCAGAAATGCCCTGCAGGAAAGTAGTAGAATTCTGTTTGATCACCATTGCTGTCCAGTGGGTATGATGCTATAGTGTTAAGTGTTCCAGTTTGGTTACATTATGAGCTTGAAGCAGTGGCCATGAAAGCAAATACATTTTGAATTCATCTATTGCCAGTACTCTAATTTTTAGCAGTAAAATTATATTATCTTGTTTAAAATTTCATTAAGTATTGAAACATAATTCAGACATTTTAAAACGTATGTATTTTAGTCACTTTAGTAATTTTACTAAATTTGATTAACAGTCTTCAGAGAAGAGGAAATTATTCTGGTTCAGGAATCTTTTTGAATAGTTTACTTCAATATATACTTTATATATAGAATTTGAAGCTTCTTTTCTATTATGTTTTGAAACTGCAAATAGCTGTGATCACTGAGTACAATTAAGATTTGATTGATTGATTTGTTTCAGACATGAGTTTTGATTAAAGCAGTAATGAAAAATTATATAGCTCCGATATTCTAAAGCCTGGTAATGGGTAACAATAACTTGTTGTTTGCCATAGTAAATTATCAAACTTAAATTTTAGCAAGAAAGTATCTTTACTCGTTTCCATAACATGTAAAGCTGTATTATTAATGGGTAAAAGGAAATTTCACAATTCTTTCAGTTTTCATTTATTCATCCCAAATGTTTTTTCTGGCCTCAAAAAAATGCCACAGTGAGAAATTATCTTTCATTTTTTTAAAAAAACAAAAACAAAACATAATTCCTGGCCACATGTATTTTCAGACTCAAGTTACTGACTTAAGCTGAGAATGGGATGTAAACTTATTTTTTTTTTTAGGAATTAAGAAGCATTCATCAGATGAAAAGCTTTCTTCAGTAAAAACAAAAGTAAACTATTCATTTTGCACATAGATAGGGAAAAACTAGAGTGGACCTTCTCACCAAAAAATTATAAGCAAATTCTATATTAAAGATGTCTGGATATCCTATGTTAGTCTTCAATTCTGGTGTGACCCGGAAATCATGCCTTCCATTTTGAACTTAACCTCTGGGTTTCTGTTATGTTCCATATTATTCACAATTTGACAGTTTTTTTTTTATTAAATCCCACATTTGAAACTATCAAATAAAATTCCATCAGGTTCGTAATTTGTAAACTAAAAAGCTCCTTCTGAGAATCTCTGCCACACAAAAATGCTATGTTGGAAGATAATCACTCTGTATTCTTTCTTTTGATTATGGCTAAGTTCTGCTACCGGTAGTTGGTTCAGTTAACCTCATTCTTTTGTAGGCATCTTGCCTAATTTTCTTGAAATCAGCTAAAAGTTGCAAATGAAATAGAGCTGTTTATTTGGATATGTTACTTCTGATCCAACCAATTCTCAAATGTTTCACATTTACTTAGAACTGTAATGGCTTCTAAAAACCTTTCTCTAAAATATAAAAGGTAATGATAATGTGAGCAAATGAATAAAATATAAAGCACATATAAATATAAGCACATATGAAGAATGGTTGCAGGAACTGGGTATGTCTAGTCTAATGAAAAGAAGAACTGGGGAGACATGATAGCAGTGTTCCAATATCTCAGGAGTTGCTATAAAGATCAGGGGGTCAAGCTATTTTCCAAAGCACCAGAAGGCAAGATAAGAAACAATGGATAGAAATTAATCAAGGAGAGAAGCAATCTAGAACTAAGGAGAAATTTGCTAACAGTGAGAACAGGCAACCAGTGGAATGGCTTGCCTTCAATAGTTGTGGGTGCCCCATTACTGGAGGCTTTCAAGAAGAGACTGGACAGCCATTTGTCTGAAATGGTATAGAGACCCCTGCTTGGGCAGGGGGTTGGACTAGTTGACCTCCAAGGTCCCTTCCAATTCTTATTCTGTGTTCTACGTTCACATATTTTGCTGTTTCAAGTGCGGAAGAAGGATATGCAATCAAATTCAATAGAAAATCAGAGAAATGCCTTGGAGAAGAATATATAGTCTGTGAAGGTTGTACAATCTGTTATATATAATCTGTTAAATTCTTCTAATATATGATATTTATAGTATGCAGGAGTCATTTTGTTAGAATTCAATACCTTAATGAGCTTCAGTTCTTTCATTTACACAATTTTAAAAACATCATTGAGATTGAATATTTTGTTATGGTTACTGTGTAACAGAAAATAAACTGAAATCAATTGGTGGGTCTCACAATCAATTAGCAAATCTGATAGGCATGGAGATAAAGCACAGTTCAAATTTTCTATTGTTTTGTTTATTAATATTTATCAGATGCCAATTTAATTTGGATTGTGGGCAGTATCCAACATTGTTTGAATGGATTTTCACTCAAAAGATGATCACTTGCTCTTTGTTTTCTTGCAACTTCTAAGATCTACCTGAGGAAGTGTAAAATGCTCTGGATTGGTGGATTGCATTCCACCAGTAAATAGACATAATAAAATCCAGTCCTTTATACAATATTTGGTTTTAGACTAGAAGTTTGGATTGAGCTATCACTTAGCTGAATGGTCAGCTAATTTAATTTAAAGATTGTTGGGTTAATCCATCATTATTACCTTCTGTGAATGTAGATATAGATGGTTATGTCAGTTTAAAATTGTAGATTTGTATACAGATATTCACAAGGCAATATCCAGTTTACACCTAGGTTTCTACCATCACAAATAATACATAATTTGATTCAAAGATTGCTTAGACAAAGCTGTACATTTTGAATTGATGTATATAAGATGAAAGAATTAAAATACGACATGCCAATAATAAATGCTCATAAATCAGTATAGGCTAAATATCAGAACGATCTACTAATGTTTTATCCTATTTTATTCACATGTAAACATTTCCTTTTTCTATAGGCAACAAACAAAGACTTCAGTTTACCGAAGCAGACAGTCTTTGAACAGTCCTAGTCCGGGAGAAACTGAAATGGATCTTCTAGTTACACGTGAAAGACAGAGACGTGGTATCCGCAATAGTGGATATGACGTAAGTGTACAGAGACTGCATTTGTTGAGCATATTGCAATGTTAATAAATTGATTTAGAAGAATTACAGTACATATTAAGTTTATTTTAGCAAAATTATGTATTTACCTATTTGCAGCGTTGAGTCCGCATTGGGAATCAATATTTTGCAAAAGGTTTATAAAACCAGCCCCTGAAATCAGGTTGAATTTTAGATGTTCATTTTTATGGGTTTAGAAGATTTATCAATCTGACCATCATTTGAATAATGTTTCACAGAATAGTTGTGAATTGTTACTTATACCATTTGTCGGGATAATGTAAATTTAAATAAAACCCTAATATAAATATATACATTATGGTTACTATTTTCTAATTATAGCACTCTATCACAAAAGTTATAGCAAGAACATTGAGATATTTGTACTGGACCGAAGAAGAAGATTCCCATGAATCTCAATTTGCTTACCTAGTTTCTTTTGATTAAGTTGCTAAAACTTTAGACAGCTTTCCCCAGTCTGGTGATTTAAAATGAATTGAATTATAACAGGTCTGCATGACATATGGCCTGCAGTCTGCACGTGGCCTGCCAAGTAACTTTGTGCAGCTAGCCAGTATTTTTTGAATGCTCAACAAATGCTAAGTATACCATTTATTTGGATGTGAATCTTACTGAGTGTCTTGTATATTCTGAAACATTCCACTCCTCCAAATATAATCTCTGATGAAATTGTGACCTCTTGCTAAAATAGACTATAATGAGGGGCGGAGGAAACCTGCTAGTTTACTGGGGGGGGGGGGGAATCTCCCTAGTGAAAAACGGAGTTTTAAGAACATATAAACACTGAAATTGAGATTGTTCTTGAAATGAGCTTTAACATTGCAAGAGAAATAACTGTTGCTGGGAAATGTTTTACAGAAGGCAGATTTTTAAAGCTGTGTATAAAGATTGCTGTGCCCAATCTTTGCACAGAAAAGAAAGCAATATTTGAGTGCAGTATTTTGTTAATATAAAAGATGAAGTAACAAAGTTTCTTGCAAATAAATTAGAAAATTTAAACAGCCTAAAAATGAACAGTGGAACTATAATATCTTTTTATTTTGCAATATCACAACTCATGTAAATAATCTGAATCTTCCCAGTTTCAAGGAAAAGATCAACTAATTTTTAAAAAGTATAATTCAATAAAAGCATTAAAATAAAATTATATCTTTTGAAGGGACAACTCAAGAAAGCAGAACAGGATCAGTTTCTTATTTGTACTCAGCATATTCCTTATCAGGTGCACTGAGTTAGGGGAAAAAAAAATAAAGAGAGCATGTTAGCCTTCTGATTGAGGAATTACATGAAACATTTGCTTTGACTGAAGAAGAAAAGGCTCAATTAAATATGATTTAAAATCCATTTTTTGTAAATCCAGAAGAAATATCCCTAGATTTCCAAATAGAAATAATCGAGTTGCAATGTTCAGGTGCTTATAAATCAAAATTTAAGGGAAACAAATGTTTAGAAAAGGAAAAATTTAAAAAGCTCACTGAAACTCAGCAAACTTTTGTATTTTTGGAAACCTATTTATATGCAAACAAATCTTTGCAAAACAGTTTAAGGATATCAACTTCTCATTTAATTCCATAAAAAAAGTGTTGTTGAAAAAAGATGCAATATATTGCATTTATTTATTCATGTTTTTTTTGTATCATAGTCTTCATATTTTCTAGTAATAACTTAATTTCCCCCAAACTGTTCCTTTGTGGACTGTGGTTATTTAAATGTATCAGAGTTATCCTTTCCTCTGTTTGATTTGGCTGGATTAAAAGTTTTCCTCACGTTCTACTTCTGCTAGTCATTCTGGCCAAGACATTAAAAGCCTAGAGTAACACAGAGCCTGATGTTAGGCAAGCTGCATTACAGAGTTATAGACTAAATTTCACGTTCTTACATAATGGTAGTTCAGTGTCCCAGATATTTGTTCTTTCTTATAATAGATATATAGTCTAAATGGATGCCACTATACTTTGCTATATAAATAATTTATGTCTTAAGTATCTTGATACCAACTTAAGTTGCACTGTGCTTTAATTCTTCATTTAATGTGTGACCAAAATTCTTTCAGTTATATTCCTTAACTATTTGACAGGTGATATTGATTCATTTATTATACATTATCAAGCTGATTTTGACTCCTAGCGACCACCTAAATAGATTTTCTCCATGATGATCTATTCCTAACCCTTTCCCGTTCTTCCAGTGGAGCACTCATTATCATTGTAATTGAGTCTATTCACCTTGCTGCTGACTATCCTCTTTTTTTTCTTTCCTTCAACCTTTCCCAGCATTGCAGCATTTTCCAGAGAGCTGGGTCTTTATATAATGCAGATAGTCCTCGAGTTACAACAGTTCATTAGCAACAGTTCAAAATTATGACACCCCCAAAGTACTTAAGACAATTCCCGAAGTTACGAATGTTGCAGCACCACGGCAGTCATTCACCTGTACGACTGACTGCAGAGACACTGCAACATTCCCCCTGCCTATTCCCACCCCCACAGGGACCTAACAGGCACTGCCCTGTTATGACAACCCACCAGTTCCTCCCCACCCCAAAGACTCACTTATCTTTTGAAGTTCCAGAGTTCCAGAACAGATTGACTCTTCCTTCTCTCTCTTTAAGCGATCTGTTTCACTTGCAGGGGTTGCATGGCACAGCAGCGCTGTTTCTTTGCCTGCTTCTGGCACTCCAAAAGGGGAGCAGTAAGAGCAGAGGCTAAGCGGGATGAGTATGCTTCACCAACTATCAGCTTCACCAACTCACCGAGGCACAGGATACCTGGTCTGCTTTTGGAGCTCTGGGCAGGCTTGGTGAGTCTAAAGGAGCCTGAAACCACACTCCCAAAGGCTTCTCTGTGCCAAAAGCCTTTGACAAGGGATAGAAGGTTTCAAGTAGCGCGCAGTCACTCTCCCAAAGCCTTCCGTCCCTTTGCAAAAGCTTTTGGCCCAAAGAAACTTTGGGGATGCAGTCTTGTGCTCCTTTAGACTCACCGAGGCTGCCCTGTGCTCCAAAAGTGGATTGGATGTCCTGTGCAGGCATCTTCAGTGTGTCAGCGAAGCTGAACAGGGCAGGACATGCTTGTTCCGCTCTGCCTCTGTTCTCACTGCTCTGCGTTTGGAGCACCAGGAACAGACAAAGAAACCATGGCAGAGAGGATGGAGGGGAGACAGCTTGCTTGACCATCAAGATTTCCACAGTGCCTGTGGAGACCCAGTAGGGCAGGAAGGGGGGGGGGAAGCATGAGATATCTCAGTAGGTCCGGGGAGGCCTTGGGTGGTTAGAAGCACTAGGCCCCCCTCACCCTGAGATACCTCATGTGCACTTGACAACTGGAGCATTTGATTAGCCAAAGCATTGGGTAAAGGAGGGAGGGATCATGTTCATTTAACGTGATCCAATTAACGAATCTTTGGGTTACAAATGTAATTGGCAGGCTCTATTACACTTTTGTAACTCGAGAATTACCTGTAGGTCCAAAGTAGGATAATTTCTGCCTTGAGTGAGAATTCTGAGTTAATTTGTATGATAATCCATTGATTTATTTTCTTGGCTGTTCATAGTATTTTCAGGGATCTTCTCCAACACCAAAGTTTAAAGGAATCATACTCTTCCTATCCTTCTTCTTTAGAGGATTGTTTGAATTAGCATTTCTTGAATACTGGACTCTTAGGGTTTGTGAAATCAATATGTTGAAAAATAATACAATATTAAAATCTCAACAAACAATCATGAGACATAACAACAACAACAACAACAACAACAACCTTGGAGGTCATCTACTCCAACCCCCCTGCTCAGGCAGGAAACCCTATACCATTTCAGACAAATGGCTGTCCAATCTCTTCTTAAAGACTTCCAATGTTGGAGCGTTCACAGCTTCTGGAGGCAGGTTATTCCACTGATTAACTGTTCTAACTGTAAGGAAGTTTCTCCTTAGTTCTAGGTTACTTCTCTCTTTGATTAGTTTCCATCCGTTGCTTCTTGTTCTGCCTTCAGGTGCTTTGGAGAATAGCTTGACTCCCTCTTCTTTGTGGCAGCCCCTGAGATATTGGAACACTGCTATCATGTCCCCCCTCATCCTTCTCTTCATTAAACTAGACATACTCAATTCCAGCAACCGTTCCTTGTATTTTAGCCTCCAGTCCCCTAATCAACTTTGTTGCGCATGATAGGTGCAGTGAATGCATCACATTTACTATTTAATAGAATAAATGTTGAGAAATAGAACCCATACAAACAAAAGCTCTTTTGCCTGTTCCATAATTTTTAAAAGAGAAAAAAAGGTTAAGAAACACTGATCTAAATTATGGAGAAGTTTGAGGGAAAGACAAGAGAAAATGGGAGCAAGTTATTCAACATCAGAATTCTTACTATATTACAGTATCTAATGGCTTTCATCACACATTTTCATAAGTAAACTGGTATGAAACTATTAAAGATTTATTTTATCAGTGAGGCCAGAATATAAAGCCCCATCAGCTATACTATTCAAAATTGCTATGCCCTAGTCCTGTGCAATAGTAAAAATTCTCTTTCTTTGCATTGCCTTTCTGTTTAAATATACAATGAAATTCCATTTTAATGGATTAATTGGAATAATGTCTATTAAATAAGGAAGCACATCATCACAGTGTTTTATGTTATTTTCATGATAACATTATTATTAAAATAATGCAAAATATTACAGTTGAGTAATGATGTTATGATATAAAAGCCTTAAATTGGCACAGCCAGTTTCTTCAATGTGCGCTGATTTATATTTGGTTTTTGCCTTTTACATTGTGTACCTTGATCATATTTCTCTGATTTCCAGAACCGAAATAGGAAAAAAAATTGCAGTACTTATGAAGTAATAAATAATCTTGCTGTCTGTTGAAATATAGTGATTCTTTGCTATATTTGTCAAGATTCAGGAAACTGAAACATCATCTGTGAAAGGATTGTCTGTGTTTTCACATTATGTGTCACAGTACATAAATCCTAATATGAAAGCATTTAGGTTCATAGTGTGCTATGCTTCATTGCAGCAGCAATGTAAAGGAACAATCTATGGTATGAGATAAAGCTGGCTTTGCTGTAGTTATTCATACATCGTATTTCCCTGACTGCAGTATCCCCTTATGCATGTTTTGCTTTGCAATTGGATCATTCTGTATTTTTGTTACATTATTTTTATAAAGTCTTAGGGACACTTGTTTGTCGCCTGCTTCGTTTCTGTTATGTTTATTTTCTGTACCTCTCTATTTTCTTTTTACTGTAGGATAGGATATAGTGATTGTGGTACAGAAATAGCGACTAGACCACAATTATCAAATCATCTTCATCACTGGAGGGACATAAATCCATACCTCATTGGTCCAAACCAATTACTAAAAAATCATTATAAGTATAGATCAATTAAGTTCTAGATGCAGTTTGATCAGTTTAACACACAGCAATTAAGCACTAGATGCAACTTGATCAGTTTAACACACAACCAATAAATATGTTTTCCACCAGCAACAGCATGAAAGCTCTGTGGGCTTTTGAGGCCTGTTATGGCTCCACTAATCCTATTTGCTTCTTACGTTATTCTATTTATGCCTACAAAGAGGATCCTACAAAGTAGTTAATATCACCTATTTATTTATTTGTCCTTTAAAAAGTGTAATTTATTTTTTAACCTAGAATTCCTACTTTGATCTGGTGGGAAGACTCATTATCTTTAATGATTTAGGGAATAGTATGGGCAGGAGCAGGAACTCCTGTTATATACCAATTGTATACACCTTGCTTGTAAAATACAAAGGGAAAAAATGAAACTAAGTAATCTAATGAGAGTGGGGGCAAGAGGGTTTGTGCAAGTATGTAGGAAATTAGTACACCTAGGAGAAGAGAATTAGGAAAATTAAATCTAAAAGAAGGCAAAGGCAAATCACTTCTGTGTTACTGTCAAGAAATTTGAATGAAACATTAAATTCCAATTGGTTTCAAGATGATGAGACCATCCAAGTTGAAAGCACTTGTCTAGTTATTAGATAAGAATGTCAGACTTTTAAGATATTTTATTCAGTTTTGTTGTTTTTTTGACTTTTGTATATTAAAGTTAGTTGATCTGAACTTTCCTTTTAAAGAAAAAAATGGAATATAAACATGAAATGAAATATAATTTGTTGATAATTTAAGAGAAAACTGATTTTAGCTGAAAACTGGAAACACGTTTTAAATATTTAAGTTACTCACATCTATGAATTTGTTAACAATACTTGTGACTCTCGATGTAGAGAATATTAAGGCATAAAATAGGTATTTTTATAGGTACTTATAACATTTGTAATCTTTATAGAATATAGATTTCTTAAGCAGCTAGAAATTCATTGAAATCAAAGCTAGATAGCTATTCTCTTTTTCTTTCCATACAAAACATTCTTAGTTATTAATATAAAATAGTTAATAACAGCCTACATTCATGTTTTCCTCATTATAATTTCTTCTCTAAAGCAAATGGTGAATAGCAATGACTGTGGCATTTATAAAAATATAAAAGAGACTTACTAAGACTAGGGCAATGTAAGTTTTATGCTTGAATGGAAATATGAACTTGATCCAACACCTTATCTCTATCATTTCTCTAATTAAATGGTTATAATGAGCATGGAGGGGGATTAAGAACTGAACAGAAAGAATGAACGCAAGCTTGGGATCTCTTGTACCTGTTGATTTCTTTGCTTCCTTGGGATGCTGTACTAGTGGACTGTTTCTAATGCAGGACATAGCTTTTTTCTGCTATCTATTAAATAACAAATCTCATAAAAGGGATTTAAAATGATGCGTGAACATATCTGCTCATTGTACGTATATATGAACACCATCATAAAAAGTGATTGCAACAATCTCCATTAAATACTTATATTTTATCCAACAGACTGAGCCTGAAATGATAGAAGAAACAAATATTGACCGTGTCAATGAATCTCGAAATTATACCAGAGCCCATCAAGCAAAAGGCCATTCAGAGACTTCAACTCTGAGTTCTCAGCCCTCTATTGATGAAGTTAGGCAACAGATGCACATGTTACTAGAGGAAGCCTTTAGTTTGGCTTCAGCAGGTCATGGAGGACAGAACAGGCAACAAGACACTTACAATTCTGCACAGAATTTGCCATATTCTGAAGTTGTGACCAGTGCTCCTGGTACCATGTCTCGACCTAGAGGTGGAATACAGTGGGTGCCAACATATAGACCAGAAGTGTATCAGTACAGTTTACCACGACCTGTAAGTGACCAGTTACATATGACTGAGCTTGTGAGCTTGTTTCATATGTTTTCAAGGAAAATCCTTTTGTGTTGGTTGAATATGTGTCCATTTCACTGCAGAACCTTCATATATACCATACAGCGTTTTACATGCATTTTAAGAAGCTTGTCTACAAAATCACATTGTATATTTCATGTAAGGTTATGTGTGTGATCTTGAAGTTACATATATTAGTGTAAGGTGAATTACCAAACTAGACAATTAAGCTTGTATGAGGTAATAGCATAAATACAATAAAAGTAAACAGCATTTTTCAAGGAATAGAACATACTGGAAGTTATATGCTTCCTTTCATTGTTCTGGTTCCTGTAACTGAGGCTAGAGTATCAGTAATCCTGAGTTAGAGGGAGCAAGAGGCATAGACTGATAGATTTCATTTACAAAAACTTTTTGCAATATTACTAATGGCACGGAGCGGGTTCGTGAATATGTACTACCTGAAAAAACCCTAGAGACAAAATACTTCATGTTAAACCAGCACTATGAAAATAAGACAGGTAGAATTTATGCCTGCAGTATGCTTTGCATTCAGGGACTTGAGATACATATTCTATTATATGTTTAATTATGTTCAAGAAAATATTGTCTTATGAGTAGAATCATAAAATATTTTAATTATACATTTGAAACAGTTACATTGTCTTTCTCTTTCATTCAGAAAACAAAAAGAGATCATCCTGCCATTTATGCCATTAATTTCTCTTATGATATTGAGAAAATACAAGTTATTTGTTTAAATGTATGGGATGTGGGTTGAGATGTAAACGATCAGATTTTTTTTTAAAAAAGACAAGAATATTACAAACTAGTGTTTTCTTTGTGATTTTGTATGTGTGAAGCACTTTCAGTATCGCTGTATAGCATAAATTCTAAAGCTCATTAATCCTGAATCATTAGCAACCAAGACATAGATATGCAATTTTAAACTAGATCTTTTCTTTTTCTGACAAAGGAAGAATGAGAAACACTTCAGTGTGTCTGTTTAAAACTAGGTTGTGAAATTGTAAAATGAACAAAGTTTTGCCAGTTGGTTTAAGAAAAAAAACTTATTGTTCATATCCTAACAGATAATATTACTGTTTTATAAAAAGACATAAATGCTAAGATCTATAATAAAATATGGCACAAAAATATATGTGTATATAGATTTACATAATTTCAAGGCCAGGTATATAACTAAATGGAACTCTCAGTCTGTCCAAACCAAAATCACTCTTAGTTACCATAATGGGTTATTATTTTTCAGCAATATAAAAGTAGCATTGCTGATGCTGCTTCATTTTTTCAGGTTTGTTAAATATATTAGAATCAGCAATCTTCCAGATGACTTGAAATTACTCAGTGAGATATCAATATTCTATTACTACTTACCATTGATTAATCTATTCATGTGTTATTTTCAGATACCAGTTATTTGGCAACATGATTTTAAACTTGCTTACTGGACAGATCCACTTACATCCATACCACAATTTATTCTCATATCAGTGTATGCTTGCAATGGAAAAATAAATATTTATTGTGATCTTTTGTTTCTTCAATTAGAGAAACTTGTACAAAAAGCTGTTCACCCAAAAAGATTATTATATGAATAAATATTAATATTTACGGTGTAAAATTTGGTGTAAAAGAAACGGAAGTGCAAAAGAGGAGTATATACTCATTTAACCTGAGTTACCATGAGCAATTTAAAGCAAATATAACTTACTCATAATATTTCATGGGTTTTCCCCAAGAAATATAACTTAATTTGAGATTTAACTTTTGACAAATAAGGAGAATGAAAATGGGGGGGGGGGAATTCCCAAATGGAACTATAATTTATTTTTATATGTGCTAAATGTTCTTATCTTGAAAAAAGATTGATTCTTGGTAAAATGATTATAAGTATAATATTCTACAAAATTAATAAGTGAGAACTTTCAAGCACATTGAAAAGCTTACTATTTAATAATTTGAAGGCAGCCCTTTATATTAGGCTTTTAAGACCACTATCTCTGAATCGACTATGTTGTTGCGGGGTTCAGTCAAACATATTTCTTCTATAATGCAGAGAAAGGCATTCTAGTGTTATCTAAATAATTGAATTTTTTTTTTTGAAGAAAGCTCCTTGATTTCTTTCCAGGCATACAGGTTTTCTCCACTCCCGGAAATGGTGATGGGTTCTCCACCTCCTCCTGTGCCTCCCAGAACAGGACCTGTTGCTATAACTTCTCTTAGGAGGTACTACAGAAATTTCTAGTCTTCTTAGTAATTAATGCTGATGCTCAGCTATTCTACTGCTAAGCTAGCTCCTTTTATTTAACGTATGCTTTTGAAATTCAATCAAATGGTGTAATTTCAGGTATAATGTTATGATTAAATATTTTCAAACTATATATCTATGCTTGGATACAAACTTTTTAGATATGTAAAAATATGCAAAAGCTATTCTCTAGTATTGTCCGAACCATGATTTGAATCCTTGATTACAAAGGTATAATCTCAGGGTTATACTGTCTTATAAAATAATTGAATAATTAATAGAACGCCCTGTTTTTTTCTGAAATAACCAAACAGGCAACACAAGATCAGTGGACGATTTGATATTTTTGAGGGGGGGGGGTGGCGCTCAAGAAAAATGTAGAACATTTTTACTATAATATTACTTACGTAAATTGTGTAATCATAATAAATGTAGACAGGTTTTAACATACTGTTAACATATGTCAAATATTTAGTGCACAATTATCTGTTCATTTGTATGGTGGATAGTGCCTTTTAAATTTTATATTCTCAGATCAAATTAACTTAATAATGCATGTCATGCATGAATAGCTGATTGCTGTTGTGGTTCAGTCTTACAAAATCACTTGGCCTGATAAACAGTGCTTTTTTTTTTTTAAACCACTTTGGAATATACTGCAAAGCCACCACATAGTATGAATGAGATATTTTCACAGTGCATTGGTATAAGAATACAGAAGTAGCTGGGCTGTTCTCATTGGATGTCAGTGATGTCATAATAGTTGTGCAAAACTATCAATGAGCACTGGCAGCCAGCCTCATCATTCATTGTCAGATAGAATGAAAATAAAAGTAAATTTAGCATACACCTAGCAAATATCTAATAAAATGTATGTCATTATTAACATTCATGTTTTTTAATGTTATTATAATTAGAATTGTCTACACCAGTATAGCCTCACTAATTGGCATTTTCTGGTGTTTACATTACCATATCAAAATGCAGGACAGGGTAAAAGATATATAAATTATTACCTAAAGCAAACGGTGGTCTGCAAAGCTGGTATGATTAGCTATTAGTGAAAAATGTCAAAATGATAATACTTCTCTTCTTTCACAAACTCTTAAAGCAATACAACTGCTCTGGATGAAATGGTTCTACTTTTTGATAATTGACTTCAAAGTACTTAAATATGCTGCTCCAGATTAAATGGGTTCTAGACTTTGACCAAGGTAAATTTGACATTGATATGACTAATGTTTCCAATATGTATTGTACAGGTCAACTTCCGATATTGGCAGCAAGACAAGAGTATCAGAGTCCAGTGGGACTGAACAGATACAGCCACATGATCATGTCCCTTTTGTCCCAGTATCAAAAGCCCCAGTAACTGTGGCTCCATTGGATCAATCAGCTTTGAATTACTCAGGTGAAAAACGCATGCGGTACAAACAGAGACCACATCTAAGTCTATATGGCATAGAGACAAGTGTATGAGATCTAACAAATACCCTTGTTTAAAACTGTGTTAATGGTTCTCTTGAAGGCTTGAGGACGAGGGTTGATAAAAGGATCCCCACATACACCTTCATTTATCACATGAAGTATATTTCTAACATATAGGAAAGAAAGGACATGGTCTCTCTATTTGAAGCACCTGGAATTAGCATCTTTCTAAGACAGGACCTTGGAACTGCTACTGTGTTATAGGACAGAAAACAGATAGCCATGTAACGTAGTCTTTTTTTCCTTGCAGTGATTACTTTTGAGCTGAATGCATGTGTGTAGATTCAAAGGCTAGGCACTTTTTAGAAAAAGCTAGGGGAAATTGCTGTTCTCAGCATAGTGTATTGAAGCCAATCTGAACTGACAGTAAATGTTATGTGGCTGTTTCATTGTGTTTACAGCTCCCAAGCTCCATGTCCTTGGAAAGTATTCAGAAGTGAATTCGGTCATGGTATCCCAACTGGTAATCAAAAAATTTCCAGTATGGCAAATTTAATCAGATTAACTCCATTTGTCATTAATAAGCTGAATATGATTATACATACAAGGATATATGCCACAAGGAGCTTCAGCAGATGATATTAACACATGAAACTTCCTCATGTTGAGTTAAGTTCATCTAGTCTACCTTCTCCAGTTATGATTGGCACCAGCTCTCCAGGATTTCAGACATCTTTTTTTATACTGCCTGAGACCCTTTTAATAGAAGACAGTAATGATTGATCCTGAAAGCTTATACATGCAAAGGAAAAGTAGTTATATTATTATTTTCAGAAGACTTTGGGAAAGTGAGATAAGTGGTTGTATTCTGCCACTGACTGTAGCTCAAGACATTTCTTTGATTCAGTAGAATTATTAACTAACTGATCTAAATAATTCTTACATTAAAAACAGAACAAAAGACTGCACTCTGTCAGATATTTTGGATTTATACATCCTAAATGTTTGTATATGCCTATGTTTGAATGAGTTGGGAGTATATCTTGTTTTACATTGTAAAGTTGGTCTCCCACGTCATTGATGTTCCTGATATTACATATTATTGCAGCTCATGAGGTAAGATTTTAGAGGAAAATTATTCTGATTGGTCAATAATTCAGCTAATGAAAAATGTATTGTTTACAAAGAAAGAATAGTTGTGTTGCTAGTTTGCTTACTTGAATAATAAAGATATTTAGAAGAAGCAGATTTTTTTAAAAGGATGCTGCTACTAAATATTTATTCTTAACCAGGTTCATACAGGTTAAGATAGCCTAGCCTTATGATGAAAGGAAGGTAAGCCAACTAGCTGTTTAATCATATGCAAAAGGCATGGTATACATTTCTTTCTTTTTTTTCTAAATTGCTTTTTACCCCATCTCAATCTCATCGATAGACAAAAAAACCAGTAAATTATCATCCCCAAAGTTTTGGAACAATTTTCTTTGAAGTGTTTCTTGAAAATTCAACTTTTAAATAGCTTTTAAAATAAAAGCTTATTCCTATTCTCAATGACCAATTTGGGTAAATAAAATCTGAATTGGAAAAAGTGTGTAGGGAGAACAGCTAACTTTCTTATTGATTAAACAGTATTGATGCCACACTTTTTCTTTGGATTTTCCTCCTTCACATTTTGTGGTTTTAATACATACTGTGTTCAAATATCATGGGTGCCAATCCAAAAACAGGCAATGGGTATTGTATGCGCTTTTCAAATCATTTTGCCTTAGATCAGGGTTGCCCAATCTTGGGATAGCTGGCTGGGGAATTCTGGGAGTGGAAGTCTAAGAGACTAAAAGTTGCCAGAGTTGGACAATCCTGCCCTCTCCTTTATCTGCAATTGTAACATTTGCCCTTCCCAAAGGAAATAATAATACTTCTACCGGTTTGTCTTTAGATGATACCGTATTAATAGCAGTAAATGTCAGTGGAATGAAATTGCATCTCTAGCCATTAATCTGATTTTCACGATAAAAAATATTTAACAATGTATTATAAAGTTTATGAAGTACTTAACTAATAGAATATACATTTCTATTCTACTGATTAGATGTGCCATGACTTTAAATGTCTTGATGTTTTAATTAAAGAGGAGGAATTGACTTCTCTTAATTGTTAAGAGAAACAATTAAGAAATATCCAATTTTCCAAGAAATTGGAAATATCTTAAGAGAGATGACACTGGCTGAATGGACTACTGGATTTGACACATGTTTCTCTTTGTTTTTTAAATCTGGAAACATAAAATGAATCCTACTATAATGTTTCCTACTGTACATGTGGAATATATTTTTTAAAAATCTAACTTAATAGTCTTTGTAAGATCAGGATGTAATAATACATCAACAGTTAATAGCTTTTTTTTTTTTTAAAATAGACGTGCCCTAAAAAGTACAACATAAATAAAAGCAGCTTAGGTCACACTTTTAGGTGTGCTTACGTGAACCAGTGGGTATAATTATATATACAAGCATTATATACTTGTATAGCATTATAGTTATACTAAATATAATTATACTTGGTATAGTATAGTATTATATTTTCATGGAAAGCAATGGAACATGCAATGTTCAATGATTGGGATAAGTCTCTCTCTCTCACTCTCTCTCTCTCCCTCCCTCCCTCTCTCTCCCTCTCCCTCCCTCCCTCCTTCCCTCCCTCTCTCTCTCTCTCCCTCTCCCCCCCTCTATCTCTCTCTTCATCTTTAAAAACAAAGGGCTTGAAAGAAGTTTCACTATATTGCCTTAGGTTATGATCCAGTGGTCGTTAAAGAATGTTACTTAACTTTAGGCATGTAAATAGTCTCAGTGGGGCCACTCGGCACAGTTTGCATGTTGTCAAGAGATGCTTAATGCTTATGTGCTCTTTTACTCATAGGTCTCATTAGCTTTGAAGCCTTTTTTTTTTATTGAAATAGTCAATCATCAGTTATAGTGCTTCTGGGCAATCTTCTGCCACAGATAGCATATCATAGGTTGCTTCTGAAAAAGACTCTTTTGATGAAAATTTCTGGAACTGATCTGTAATTGGACTGCACAAAATTGTTTCAGATTTTCACACTCTGTAGTTGCCTAGCACAGTGATTTTAACCTACATTTTAGGATATATCACTTTACCCTAACCTCTGAAATAATTTGTCCGTTGAGCTCCCCCTTTTATTCTTGCTGCTTTATTCTCAGTTCTAATTTTTACTGCCTAAAAGCAGATTGACTATGCTTCTTCGACTGTCACACAATATTTTGGAAACCATGTACTAATAATTGCTTGGTTTTGGTTTGTTTTTTAAACTAAGATAGAATAATGCATATTACATGCTTGTTTAAATATTTAAATGTCGGTCAGTTTGGACTTTCAAGAGTGGTACTTAAAAATGGATATTTTTGATGCAGAGGTAATCTGTGTGTGACTGATTGGTAAAGCATTATTGCTATGGTATATTAATATATATCAGTAGTATGCTGATAATAGAACAAGTTGAGATTTTTTGACCCCTCTCTGGAAAAGATGGAATGTAAGATATTGTCACTAAGATAGAATGCTGACACCTGTAGTTTTATGGAAGAAAAAAACCCCAATACGATGAACCAGTCATGTTTCAATTAGATCTATTGAAATCAGAAAACATAAGTTAATTATTACTAATATCCACTATTTGACTTTAGTGAGGATACTCACTAAATAAATTTGACTCTGACTCTGTAATTAAACTCAGATTTAATCAAGATGTGCAGCAATCTTGACTCAGGTTAACTGAGATGGTAGCATTATTATTGACATGTGGACATTTGAAAAATCTTTAATTATACTGGTAGTCCTCATTTAGTGACCACAGTTGGCACTGGCAACTCTGTTGTTAAGTGAAGTGGTCACTAAGTCAAACTGTGATTGTGCTCATGATCTTACTTCAGCTTTTGTTTGCTTTATAGGATTTGTTGTAAAAAATTTTTTTTATCATCATTAGTGATAACTAGGAATGATTGTTAAATTAGAGGGTCATTAAATGAGGACTACCTGTATTGAGTTTTGCAAATTTTCTTAGGAATAATTATTTTAAAGAATTGTGTAGATATTTCAGCATAACTCCATGTGTGCAAAAATATTCTAGCTTCTTATTTTCTGGGAAGAAATACAATGGCCCCTTAAATGTTTATGCCAAATTCCACTTTATCAATGTTGCTTTATAAAGACTAATGAATGAATAAGGTTAAAAGAGAATAAGGGACTGATTTTGAGAATCCCAGAGTGACTTTAAATTGCCTTTTATTTAATGCTGAATGCTGACATAATAATCACACTACACTCTTTCAGAAAAAGCAGAACATAGAAAAGAAGATATAGGAAGCCAAATAAGTTAATTTCATGAGATAAAAAAGGAAAAAGTAACTAGCCTAATTCACTACAGCTCTGTATGCCTTTTGATCTTTGTAAAATAATTCTTGCTTCCAATCACACCCCAAATAGATTTATATATTGACTTCCATTCTTTAGGCCATAACATCAAAATGGAGAAAATAGTGTGGGCATCAGAATTTCATTTTTAATGTGTATACACAGAAAAAGTGACAATAAAGGTTATGTTACCTCTTAATTGTAATTTCAATCAGTATTAGTTTTCAAGAAGATTTTTTTTTTTTGCTATGAAAATTTTGCAGCTTGAGTAGGGTTTAAATAAATATTGGAAGTTAACAGGGATGGGATAGTTGATATATATTTAGGTAATATTTCCATGTTAACCTACTCATTTTTGATGTTTTGAAAGGTGGCTTAAAAGTTTTCACATACAGCATATCAATTTGTAATTCCAAGACAGATCTCAGCTTCTCCTTTCTTTAGAAAAAAGGCAGAGGGAAGCACTATAGCATTGCATGTGCCTTTCAAGAAGTCACGAAGCAGTGAATTTCGGAGGAATTATTCCAATCTAGAATCCCATCCCACTAGATCTTGTAGAGCTTCTAACTCAGATAAATGGTTTCAAGAAGGTAGATGATTTCATTTAAAACTGGAACTTGCAAGAATATATGAATATTTTCAACTGATCAGTTCATTGTATTTTCTTGAAATCACCAAAAATAACATGCAGACCAAAATAAAGATAAGCAGTTCAACTGGCATTACTTACTACAAGAAGTAATTTGAGATTCTCTATCCCTTTTGACTACCTCAGAAAAGAGAATCTGGAACTATAACAAAATCCATCTTGATGTCTAATCCTATTAGGAAATGTTGAATGAATAAATAATAATTGAGCCATATGTCCTGGATTGATAAAATATATCCTGAATTTGGCCTAGGGATTAGAGCTGCTTTCTCTTCAGCCATGCTTCTTACATGCTTCTATAGTGAATCTTAACTATAAGGGATTCATAATGTTAGCATGAAATCCCCAAAGTACAAGCAACTTTCAACTAGTTATTTGTATGAGAATAAATAGTCTATGACAACTTTACAGTTTTAAAATGCCTGCTGCTACTACTGTTATTATTACCACCACCAGTATTTTAAGATTTCTGCTTGGCCACATGAGTCTGGTTTAACAGGTCTGCACAATCATGATCACAGTTCTTCCCTTTTTCAGGAGAAAAAGTTTGAAATGTAAGTTACATATTTGTATTGTTGGTGACTTTTATACGGGTTCTAATTCTGAGTGATCTTTTCATATTTACACTAGAGCAGTGGGTCCTTTCTTTGCTGCTTTTCTTTGTTTAACTTGAGGATAGAAGAAATGCTCATTGCTACTCTTCTGCTCAAGGTCAGAACGGTGGAGAAGACTAAGAAAAAAGTTTCCAATCCCCCTCTCCCAACCCTCTAAACATGGTTTAAAGGTTAATCCTGCTCTATTTGTATTGGTTTGCATCCTTCTAGTTCTGGGGGATGCATATTTGTAATTGTGACTACTCAAGGGAAAATTACAATTGCTCCAGCAGGATAGCAGATCCTCACTAACCTTATCCTGGATTTAATGTTACAAGCCATCTCTGTGATTGTAAAGTGTGGTGTAAATATACAGCTGTGGTATAAATATTGGTACTGGAAATGCCTTTAAGCAGTAAAATATTTTCTAATTTCATAATTTACTTGTGTTACATCTAATCATCCCTACCTATGGATTTAAGGGACTTTGTTTGTAATATGATGTCTTTGTTTTGTTATTATTATTATTACTATTATTATTACTATTATTATTATTATTGGAATTGATGTTTTTAGAATTGTTGTTGAGGCCCATAAGGTTAAATACACCGTATGCTATATTCATTCAGGGGTATATTCATGACAGAAGAAATAACTTCCTGAAACCTTTCAAATTCAGAGTTCAAGGTCTCACCTCAGAGAGATCTTAAAGAGACATAACTCATGGAACATATGGGGCTAACTTCTGATATTCTCTCCTAAATGAAGGTTGATTGGTTGGTATATTTGGTTCCTTTTATAACTTGTAAACCCATAAGCAACATTTGCGCAAACTTGAGAAGCCCATTGTAGACAAAGAAGGCTGGAAACTTGTAAATTGAAATGGAAAAATGGAACTTTGTCTTATTAAAATACATTGTTTCTGTTTAACATCCTATGTGTGTGAAGTGTTTTGTTTTGAGATACTCAAACATATTTGTCAGTAAGACACAAAAAGAGAGCAGTTTTGTCTAATAAATAGGCTCTTGCAAAGGAAATAGCAACTGATGGCAATAATGTAATAGTCATGGCAGGTGTTAAGTGCTATTACTGACTTGTTAAGTTATAATCTGTATGAATTCCTAAGTAAAAGTTAAATGGAGGTAAGAGGCATAAGGCACACAAGTTCCACTATTCAGTAGAGCATCTTACGAGAACCATATTAGCATTAGCACATTTTATCTAGATGCTATGATGAAATGAAAACAGAAGAAAAATGAAATTATAGTATTCATAACATGACAGTGAATTTTGAATTTAAAATGATTGAGTAGTTCTTGAGTCCTTCTTGAGCCCTTCACTGGATGAGTTTTCACAGGAAGGTTACAATAAATTTTACTCAAATTCTGTAATATGTAAAACTGAAATATAATTCCAAGAGAGGTATTATTATGCATGGTAAAGATAGTTGTAGCAAAATTAGCATAGGTAGACAGTTTTAAAATTAACATTGCTCTGGAGAGATTTTCCTTGGGAAGAAAACTGTAGACCTTTTTATATATTTACATAAGAATAAGTTCCATTGAATTCAGTTAATTTATATGGATAAGATTAGGCTCCAAAAGTTCTATCAAAAACAACCACAAAAGATGCTAACAGCATACCAAAGCAAAGACCAAACTACATCTTCGGACTCAGAAAATAAAATATTAATAGCACAAACTACTGGCCATCTCCTGGACATGGACTTGCAGCAGAGATATTTTCTTTTCAGCAAAAAAGAAAAGAAAACCAGTCTCTATAACATTTACATACTTAAGTATTTAAAATTTGAGTTCTAGAAAAGATGATGAGATATTTGGGACATTTAGTACACTAACTTTTGAATAACTGCTATCTTTGGTCTGTAAGAGCAGTGTTTCATGACCAGACAATAAGGGTGGGTTCATTTTTAAACAAATATTTTGCAACATTTTTGCTGAAAGCAGTAAATGTGATATGAGCAATTTGAGGAGTGCCATCCTAGAAGATACCAGTGATAGACACTGAAAAATCTATTCATTTGTCAGCTGATGAAGAAGGTCATCCCTGTGGACAAGTAGACTCTTCATGAAGACATTAGAAAGGATCCGGAAACAGCAAGATTGTGACTAAGTGACAATATATATAAAACTTACTTGGATTATGGTAGTTTATTTGAACTACTTAAAGTCTGACGCACACCAAGTAAGAAAGTCAAATCTATAATGTTATTCCCTTATTTAATAATCCAACAGTTTTGCTCAAAACTTGACTGAACACAAAATTCCACTCAGAAGAATTTGAAAGATTTTGCAAATGTACAAAAGCACTGTTGCACACAAACATATTTCACATAATCGAAACAGATGATTACAATGCTTTGCAGAAACTCTTAATCCTATTGTGATTGCTCATTGTTCAATAATACTCTGTTGAAAATTAACTATGTTGGTGTTCCAGCTAATAATTGTACAAAAAAAGCAACACTTTTGGAGAAACACTAGAATCTATTTTGTTTCTCATATCACATATACTTTATGTATACTCACAAGTCTATTTGAAACATGCCCAGGAATCTCTCTCTCTACTCTGCCTAAATCCAAGAATATGCATCAGCATTGTGCCACGTACTGATAGAAATAATGAACTAAAAGCTGATACAATAATTCATTTGGACAATGGATGAGTACCACTACAAGTTGCATAATATAGTGCTGCTGTCGTCACTGTATCACATGGAATGTCAGTGCTGCTCTCTCTCTATAGGTGCATTCTCTTCCACAAAAAGTGCCACAATAGTGGCAACTTGGCACTTGGTGCAAATGCAATAATATACATGATCCACTTTTGGCAAGAAATTCTTCATCGCCACTTAAACAATGGGATCTTCTATTTGGAACATCTCAGATGTCCTTTAAAATGTTCCTCTGTATTTATAAAATGTGTTTCCATTACTAACTGTCTTCCCTATTTTTTGATAGGAAATACAGTTCCAGCAGTGTTTGCCATCCCAGCAGCAAACCGACCTGGGTACACAGATTATTTCATCCCAGCAACACCTGCAGCATACAGAAATCAGGCTTGGATGTCTTATGCTGGAGACCATGATATTCCAGGACAATGGGCTGACTCGGTAATTGAGCAGATTTTATTTTACTATTTGTATCTCAGAATAAACTGATACATACAGGTAGTCCTCCGTGACAAAAATTGATCCCCAAATTAATGTTGTTAAGTGAAACATTTGTTAAGTGAATTTTGCCCCATTTTACGAACTTTCTTGCCACAGTTGTTAAGTGAACCATTGTGGTTGGTAAGTGAATCTGGTTTAACTATTGACTCTGCTTGTCAGAAGGTTGCAAAAGGTGATCACATGATCCCGGGCCACTTCAATTTTCATCAGTGTGAGTCAGTTGCCAACTGTCTGACATTTGATGATGTGACCATGGGGATGCTGCAAAGGTCATAAGTGTGAAAAAGGTCATAACATTACTTTTTTCAGTGATGTTGTAACTTTGAACAGTCACTAAATGAACTACTGCAAGTTGAGGGCTACCTATGTTTCTTTCTTTAAATTCCATTATTATTTCAAGGGAAAAAAAATAAACCTGATAGTAATACACTAAATACAAGAAAAATATTGATCAATGACTTGCAATTAAGTAGTAGATTTAAGATATATGGCCAATATATTCTAGTACATAATGAACAACTGAGAGTAGTGTAAGACATATGATACTTCAATTTCTAGTCAAGAGATATCTCTACTGAATTATAAAAATACTCAACCATAAAAATTATATTTAAAAATTGAATTAAAATAAATTTAACCCAACTGAATTAAAATAAACAATTAAAATCAATGAAAGAAAAAACTGAATAGTAAATAATACACTAAGAATAAATAATGTGTAGACTATGTGACTGATTAAAATACAAAATTCTGGACTCCAAATTTAGGGTTCAGCACAAATGAAAAAGCTGTTGATTTTCAAAGATTTGCATTCAAATAATAAAAGTGAAGAAAAGAGCAGTTTCACATACGTAATGGAATGCGACTGATATTGTATTATTCAGCTATCTGGCCATTTCCAGAAGAGAACTTAAAGTATGATGTTACAGTTCGACAAAGGAAGCTCATTTTGCTAATGTTCATTAATGTTTCAAGTTCCTTTTATAAAGCTTCATTAATGCATAATAATAATAATAATAATAATAATAATAATGTTGGAAGGGACCTTGGAGGTCATTTACTCCAACCCCCCCTCCTCAGGCAGGAAACCCTATACCATTTTGGACAAATGGCTATCCAGTCTCTTCTTAAAAACTTTCAGTGTTGGAGCATTCACCGCTTCTGGAGGCAGGTTGTTCCACTGGATAATTGTTCTAACTGTCAAGAAGTTTCTCCTTAGTTCTACAGTGATGGCAAACCTTTTAGAGACTGAGTGCCCAAACTGCAACCCAAAACCCACTTAGGCATCGTCAAGTGCTGGCTGGGTGTGGCCCATTGGGTGGGTGTGGCCAATTGGGTGGGCGTGGCTGCGGTGGTAATGGCAGACTGGGTGGGACTAAAAACTTCAATCAATCAATTCCAACTTTGCAAGATCTTTTTTTTCCCGCAAGAAGTTGAAATTGACTGTTTGAACCTTTTTTTTTTTTTTTGCACATGGCAGCAGAGGCCTAAAGCGAAACGGTTTTATAAAACCCAGCTGAAGGCCTAGGACTGGGGCAACAGCATCCGTGCCCACAGAGAGGGCTCTGAGTGCCGCCTCTGGCACCTGTGTCATAGGTTCGCCACCACTGTTCTAGGTTGCTTCTCTCCTTGATTAGTTTCCATCCATTCCAAACAGTTGCTAGACACATTGCTCAAATTTTCCAGTATGCCTAAACAGGGTTTAAGCTGAGTATTAGAACTATAGAACATATAGCAGAATAACAGAGCTGGAAGGGTCTTCTAACCCTCTGCTCAAGCAGGAAACCTTATACCATTTCAGACAAATGGTTGTCCAATCTGATTGTGATTTCCAAAAGTACTTGGAAAACCACACAAATTGCTAAGAATGATCTGGTTTCAGTGATCAAGTCAGATATAATATACAGTGCCAAAACAGACTTTACATAATTATTAATACATGTCTACTAAGAACATATAGTCCTTCACTTACGACTACAGTTGAGCCACAGATTTCTGTTGCTAAGCGAGACATTTGTTACATGAGTTTTGCCTTATTTTACGACCTTTCTTGCCACAGTTGTTAAGTGAATCACTGCAGTTGTTAAATTAGTAACCTGTTTGTTAAGTGAATCTGGCTTCCCCCTTGACTTTGCTTGTCAGGAGGTTGCAAAAGGTGGTCACATGACTCTGCAACACTGCAACTGTCATAAATACGAGTCAGTTGCCAAGCATAGGAATTTTGATCATGTGACAGTTAGGATACTGCAGCCGTTGTAAGTGTGAAAAATACTCATAAGTCACTTTTTTCAGTGCTGTTGTAACTTTGAACATCACTAAATGAATGTTGTAAGTCGAGGACTACCTGTTCTTAGTTCTTCTACTTCACAGTATTGATGAAAATATGGTTTGTGTTGGTTTTATACTGTTCTAATAGAGTTTGTAAATTAAACAATAATGATAATTGATAAACTGGATGCCATATCGACAAATCTTGGGTGGCACTTAGAAAATCCTTGCGTTGACTAAATTTCCATCAACCAATTGCCAAAGGCCACATTGCTTGAATTCACACATTTACTATGCCTGTAGATTACAACATGCTAGTTTCTTCAAACGAACTTGATACATATGAAGGCCAATACCAACAAAAGAACTGGCAACTGTGACATTGCCACTCACAACTCAATTTTTGTAAACAGATAGTAATAATTTAGATATTATATGTTGCCCAACTCCCATTGAATCTGAGCAGTTTACAAATTACTAAAAACATTTAAAAACAAGAAAATGAGAAAAAAACCAACATCAACCAAGCATATGGATGGAAGCAAAGATTCATTGTGTATAAGATCTTGTATGGAAAAGATTTAGTTTAAGGGGGGATGTTTTCTTTTACATGAAAGTGACTAGGAAATCAACATTGAGAGTTCTGATCTAGTGTTCTGTCCAAATCATTTTGTAAGCTTTTAAATGAAAAGTTGAAAAAGATTTTTTTTTAAATGAATAAATTGACAACTTCCTTTTTTTAAAAACAATGAGTAAAATAGAGAATTCCAGTACTGAAATTTTGGGTGTCGGGATCAGAGATCAGAGATCCCCAACCTTTTGGGCACCATGGAGTGGTTCCGTAGAGAAAAGTTTTTCTATGGACCGGAGAGTGTGTGGTTTTGTGTGCTGCCTGCATCCCATGGATGGAGCTTTGCTTGTTTGTATGGACTGGTTGCTGGTATGCCGTGGCCCAGTACCGGTCCATGGACCGGGGGTTGGGGAGCCTGTTCTAGATCATTTATTTTTGGAAGAGCATAAAACACCATCTTACATAAATTAGTTTCTTTGTAAAATACAGTACAACTGTAAATGGAAATACAAATCAACTATTAAAATAATAGTACACCCTTTCATTAGAGACCTCCATCTGATTCTTAAATAGTACACCCTTTCATTAGAGACCGCCATCTGTTTCTTAAATCAGTAACAAAATGGTCACTAAGCAAAATGGTTGCTGAGAAAGAGAGATGCTGTAAAGATCAGTGGTTCCTGCCATCTCATTCAGATAAAGTTCTCTTGTAAAGTGTCCTGTGCCTGACCCATTAATTCCTGGCTTCTCCTCCCCCCTTCACAGGGTAGAGAGACTGGATAAACAAGTTATCTCTTCCTGATTTTCTCTGCAGTGCAGCTCTTTCCTAAAAAGTGCTAACTGTAAATTAACAAGTGCAGCTTTGTAATCGTAACTATTTGATTAGAGCTCTTTGCTCTGCTGGTACCTGAAACTGACCAGACGTTAATCAGTTTGACACTGAAGGTTTTGTTTTTAACTTCATGAAATTTAGTTGTAAATATGCAAATTAGTCAAAAAATTATTTATTATTGTTACCATCATAATAATTTTTGAATGGTTACTAAATGAGTTAGATGCTAAATAAAGAGAGGCTGTAAAAGCAAAAATCAACAAAAAGTGATAAAACAAATGTTATCAATAAAAGTTATTGTAAATTATCTATTTTAAATCTATCTGATATCTGTAAATAAGAAAACCACATATCCCTCTGTCATCAATTGTTCTCTTTATTTTATATTCCTCTTGGAAGAATTTTAGTATTCACAATATTTTAATTTGTGTTTGTCTATTATTTCTCGGGTATAGAATGTTTCTTATGTTGAGAGCTATAAAGATGTTTTTTGGGCACTCCCTGGATTTGCATTTATTCCATAGTCTCAATGTGGCATATATAATATAATGATTTTTGAAGTCAACATTAATTTTATCATACCACAAATATCCAAGCAACCCAAACCTTATGTTCTTTTAACTCTAAAAGTCTTCTATTTCTCAGCAACACCCATTCTTTCATCCAAATCAAACAACACGCTGCAAAATACAATTTCAAATCAGGTAATCTTTTCTTTGGAAAATACTGACTGTCCTGTGGATGGCATGTTATCTCTACCATTCATATTTAGAAAAAAACAGAAGAATTTTTTGATAATGGCAACAGTGATCTTATGAGGGAATACAGATTTGCAGATGGTTTGGTTGATAAAAACATTTGAATCTTTGATTTCTCAGCATTGTAGTTCTGGGTTACCATTTTTATGAGCCTGAACTAGAGAAATACTGGCCTCTAGTGCTTTATTCCAAGACACAGGTTTTTAACAAGTTTGACTTAGCATTAGTTGAGTAACAGGAGCGTAGTTGGATTTTTGTCTTTAAAACATTAGGTGCCTAGTAAATTTTGATGTTATATTGCAGTCTTGAGCAGGATTGAGCAATAGAACGGCATGATTTTGTATGGTTTAAATAGAAGTAAAATTTGAAAGGATCTTGCAATTGCTTTTCATAGTTTTCAAACTATATTTTAAAGAGTCCCTTAAGTTTCAAATAGTATTTGTTAAATAAAACAGAGTCCTAAATTAATATCCGACACAATACTGCAAACAGAAAGAAGAATATTTTATATTTATGTATTTATTAAAGTATTCATTTTCCACTCACTATCTAGGAGTCTTAGGAAAGATTACAATTCTTAAAATATGTAAGGGAATCCAATAAAATGAAATGAAAATACTTTTAATTTTAATGCTTAGAAAAATGAAACACTTTTAATGCTTAAAAAGTGAAACAACACAATAAGCGAAAGAGATATAAATTCTTACATGGAAAGAGAGATAATGTCACCTCAGGCACTTGAAGAGAGCTACTACATCTCCCCTTAGTCTTCTTTTTTGAAGATTAAATATGCTGCTTTTTCAGTCTCTCTTCATAGGATTTCATTTCTGTTCATCTTGCCATCCTTGTTGTATCACTAATCCCATTTCAGTTTCTCTCAGTCAAGATTGTTTTAATGATATTTATTTTGCTTTCTAAGGTATTAGCTACACCACTTCATTTTGTGTAATTTGTATATTTGTTCATTCCTTCTACTTCCTTATCTGAATCACTATTAAAAACATTGAAATGTGAAAGGTCCAGTTGGATGTCTATAGCTTTCACACAATCAATTAAGAAAGTTATACAATCAAAAACTAAATAAAGTTAGTCTTTACGATCATGGATGAACATCATGCCTCTTGTTTCAGACATATATGTGCATATATGTTGTAGTTGTTAGTTATGCCCTTTTGACTTTCTGCAACCAAACCTGGTTGTTCTCCCAGACTGCGGGCTAGGATTGTGATTGAACCCCATTATTTGTTTTCTTTTTGCTACTTGTTTTTTTTTTGGGGGGGGGAACTTTGTGTTAACTTAGCTGTCTTCTTCTCTTGATACTTTCTGTATCAAGAGAGGCCTCCACACACACAGTCAGGAGGCCTCAGAACTGAAGTAATAAATAATAAATGAAAGTAATAACTGAACTGAAGTAATAAATAATAAATAAATATTCTTAGTTTCAGCAGTTTTTTTAAAAAAATAGCAGACTTTGTAGGGCCCTCTTTATGAAATTTCAGGAGGATGCTTATTGTGCCAGGTATCACCAAGAGTACTTCTGGAATAGAGAAGAAACTGTAACACATTTATTGCTTCCAATCTGTTTATTGGAGGAGATAATGAAATTTATGCTTTAAATAAGTTGTATAATGGAAAAGGAAGATATCTGGAAAAGATTTGGGAAACTGAAAAAAATGTTTTGAGAAATCAAGATTGATTGAAATCCTTGCTTAAAATGAAAACAAATATGCATACAAACTTTTAACGAAAAACCTATCTTGTATATTCTGGCAGTCAAAGATTTCTGACATGGATATGAGATAGAAAAGTGAACTACTCTAAGTTAATGGCTACCACATCTGTGCTGTAAATACCAGGATGACCACTAGCTCATAGTAGAGAGATGGAGTTTTCTGTATATCATCTAGTCGTTGTCCAGATTTTACAATCCATGTCCAGTAGCCCTATTGTAAGCAATATTTTTTCTCCAAACTAGTGTGAAGATTTCCTTGTATACTTTTTATATCATGTGAGTAGAAAAATACATCTTTTTTGTTCTATCAATTCTCCTTTTTCTGCAATTTCCTTATCTGAAAAAGCATGTGAGCTAGTTTTTATACATAATGTGTCTGTCTTTCTACTATTCTCCAAATTACCTAAAAGGTTTTGAAAAGGTTCAGATTCAGCTTTGGTTGCTGTGAGGAAAAAAGCTATAGAGATCTACAGACTCCAAGTAGAAGACTAGTTTGCCTTGGGCTTTAAACAAATATTATGTCCTCTTTTATGTATATTGTATCAATTTAAGTGAAACATCAGCTTTGAAAGACAATAATGTTCCATAATTTTTGAGAAAAGGTAAATAAATGAATATCTTTCCAATAAAATATCCTTAAAAATTGTCATGTATAGGAACTATTGACTTCATTAGTAAGATTATTAGGAAAAGAGGGTATGACCTATTATTAGTTTCAGTCTTTAGTTTTGGGGTTATTAAATGAGTAGACCTTGACTATTATACAAAATTTGTACAGAACAAAATGCAAAGCAGTCAAGTTAATCTCTAGATTTTAATCTCTTGTTTTCAGATTCTGCTTGAACACAGCCTCTATATAGCACGCAGATTTTAAAAATTAACAACAATCCAATAGAATAATATCCAGAATATCTGTTCTACTACTTCCAAATTAATTCAAAGCCTTCTTATCTTATGTAATATGATAGTGTCATATTTTCAGAAAAGATATCTGTTTTAATTTAGCAAATTAGGATTCAAATTGTTGGTAATAAACTGAAATCTTTTCTGTTTTGAAGGTGGGGCATGTAGCTTCATGTCCAAGGAGCAGAGAAGTCTCATTCCAATTAGAGAAGTTAGTACCTCTCTGGGCATGGATCAGAGTATACTTCTCTGTTTTCATCAGATTACTGAGGAACGGCAAAACCATTTGATAAGGAGCTTATTGATTTCCAATGAAAATTATTTCATTCAATAGTTTCCACTCAAAAATCGTGTTTTCTTTGGAGTAATTAAACTCCAAACTTTTGATTAATCAATTATTTTGCAACTTTCCCCCAAATGGTATATCTAGATGAGGCAGGCATTGCAGCTGTTCAGTATTGTTATTTGAGTGAAAAGAGTTCATGTTCTATTTAAAATCTTCTGTAGGTTCCGCTCCCTGGCTACATAGAAGCATATTCATGTCCACCCTATCAGCACAACTGTCTTTCGAGGCTTCACCCTCAGTATGGTGAATCAGAAGATGTGTACCCAAGCCTGGAACAAGCTCTACACCTTGCTACAGCTGGATCTCGGCAAAGCATAATAGAAAATGATGCTTCGGTCAATCTTTCTACAACTGCCTTGGTGAAGGCAATAAGAGAAGAAGTAGCAAAGTTAGCCAAGAAGCAGACAGAAATGTTTGAATTTCAGGTCTGATGGGTTTCTGCTCTGTAGGCTTTCATCACTAGGATGCTTCTAGCTTTTAAATGAGACTTGTCAAAAGAATGTCCTGTTTTTCCAATTCTGATAGAGTCAATATTGGACCTTTTAAAGTTATAGCAACTATAACATCAGTTCCATGCCTGCTACGACAAATATTCCCTGGCATTCTCTGTGAAACATTGATATATTATAAGCAAGTGTCCATCACATACATCTTGTTTGATGACATTTCTACCACTGTAAACATTTGTTAAACCAAATGCCTGCTTATTGCTCCAATATACAAAGTGCTGGGGAAGCACAAATATAGACCACTCTGTAGCAACATGTGCATGTAAAAAGTAAGTTTTATCTTTTTGGGTCAAGAGGAAACTAATACTGTAATAATTAAGGAATATGTATTCTTTCATTAGTGATCAAGTAAGTTACATTTTGGAACATACCATAAAGACTGAGTACAACAAAGCAATAGAGCTCAGCTTTTGCTAGAAACTACATTTGGACCACAAGAATCTGATATGTATGAACTTCACAGAGTGCTTTATAAATGTCCTCAAAGGCTTGATCATTGTTTATAACCCCCAAAAAACAGGAAAAAAAGCTGGTAAGAAGTATACCAGTATAATTAGTGTCTAAAGTGCTGGTGTAATGTTACTTTTGAGTTACACAGAAGGTTTTCAATAGTGTCTCTATTGATTATGAAAAGGAAAAGAAACTTGACCAAAAAACAGGTGTTAAAAGCTCTTGGAATCTTCCAGTGAAAACAAATTCTCTATGTGCCCTATATTCAAAAAGGATTTCACTTTGAACAAAGTGAAAATGGTGAATTTGAGAACCTTGAGTCTGCCTCAGTTGGGGATAATGAATGTACTTCTTTTTACAAAAAAATTCTCTGCTTGAGACAAAGCTCTATTCTTTTTTCTTGAGTAAACAATGACATGGCTATGCAAAACAAGTAAACCTATGGCCAGAGTTTTGGCCCTGTAGTCACTGGGCAGGAATTGAGCATGACTCAAGGGAATGTAAACCTTTATAGCCTGACATCAATATTAAGGTGAGAATAAGCAAACAAGTTGGCTGGTTGTAAATACATTGCTGAGGTATTTCAACAAATTGTTCTGTTGAAACTGTTGATATCGAAAATGATTTTGCCAAATCTAGAATTATATATTTTGAAAGATAAATGTAATTCACTGTTTTATTTCAGTGGGATGAAAATAATGTATGGAATGAAAGTTGAATGCAAATATGCTGATTCATTTAGGATAGCTGCAAAAATGGCAGACTGTTACAGAAAACCATTCATTTATAATGCAATCTTCAGAAGAATTAAGATTGTTTATGGGTGATGAACGGATTTTTTTTGCTGGAATAAAAAATACCTTTTAGCCAAGTCATTTCTTCAATTTCCATTTTGTAGTATTTTGTGATAATTTCTTTTTTTTGTTATTTTCTTAATCTTTGCTAAAGTAGGTACTGTAAATATAAAGGTAATGTAGTTGTACATACGTTACAAAGTTAACTATCACACTATTCTTTTTGGGGGGTAGTGCAAAGCACAGAAAAAGAGTAAGCCTGAAAGTATAAAAAATAGTAAATCAACAACAACACTGTATTCTTGTTTTAACATTTATTTTTTAAGTATCCAATTGCTATTGGAGTGAATTTTTATGTTTTTTCTAACATCCAATTGACTTCCATAGAATACTCCTAAGCATAGCTGTTTTTGTTTGTTTGTTTGTTTTGCTGGGGACAGGGGCAAAGTTTTATTCCTTGCAACAGATCACTTAATATTCATTCTACCAGCATATGCACATCATAAAATGTCTCCATTTCCCCCATCTTTAACAATCAACCAAGGTAGTCCTTGTTTAGCAACTGCCTGGGACAGTGATTATTTGCAGTTACTATGGTGATGAAAAAGTAACTGTGTGACTAATGTCTGTATTTATGATCTTTGCAATATTGCTTTCTCCGTCGTGTTCACCATTACAGTAAATATGTGCCTGACCCATTTTTCGCTTTCACCCCAGAGCAGAGAGAACTACATAAGCTAACTTTTCCTAAGTAGTTTTTTTTTCTGCAGTGCAATACTCCCTAAAAAGTGGCAATTAGAAATGAACAAGCTCAGTTCTGTGATCTTAATTAGTTGATTAGAGCTCTCACATGGACGGCAATTGCTGGCTGAAATTGACCAGATTTTAAATCAATTTCACACTAAAAGCTTTTGTTCACTAGCGAAAGAGCCCTTGATAGGCTATTCTTTGGGATGTGTACTCCCTATTATGTGCCTACTTACTCTGTTGTAATCCCTTCCTCTCCAATGAATGTAAATACTAATCTCAATTATCTTCCAGCTAATTATCCCAGTGCTGGGGTGAACATTCCAAATTTAGCAGCACCGAGTGATTGCAATCATTAAACAAGGACTACCTGTAATCTATATGTTCTTTTTTTGTCATTTATGCATACCTTTCAACTTTTTATTTTCTCTTGACAGATACAATACTTTTGGCTCAAATGCCTTCATTTGAATTGGTCTGTCATAAAATTTATCTATCTATTCATGGCTGAATACTTTCATCATTGTGTTCCCGCTGCTCAGTGTTATAATATTCAGTAAGCAATCCACACATGTTTTACTTCATCATAAACCACTAATCACTTTCAGTAACCATACTCATGCAGAACTCAATAATTCAAAACTATAGACATTATTATAAGTATGCACTAAATAAAAGGAAAAGTGAGCATCATTTTTTTTACATTCATATAAGCTGCTGAAGGGCAAAGTTGTGATATGTATATCTTGTTTAGCCCTTTTTGCTCATTTTTAAAACACATTTTTATTTCAGTGAAAATTGCTTTTATTCATCTTCAGTCTCCTTCATTTCCCTACATGTATCTCTCCATCTCCATTCTTTCTGCCCCCTTCTAGTTTCACAAAGAACACAGACGTTTTTACTTAAATTTCTTACATTTCAGTGATTAATTCATGTTTTTGAATATTTACTTCTCTTACATTTCAAGAACAGTGTTCTGTGTGCTATTCGCTACACTATCTTATTTGCCATAATTGCGTCCATATCACATGCAGAATACTTTGCTAGTAGTATGCATAATCTTGATTTAAACAGATTTTGGTCAATATATCATAAATGCAATCAAATCCCAGTTTTTCTCAACTAGACACCCCTTGGAAACCAACATGCATTCTTCATTCCACCATCTAGATATATGCAGTTATTGACACTCACAATACAATTTACAAGTTCAAAAAATAGGTGTACAAGCTAGGGAACCAGAAAACTCAAAATCCGTATCCACATATTTTTCAGTAAAGCAATTAAAAATTAAAAAATATTCTCAAGGATGCTAATTAATTGTTTATGCACATTGTGATCTCATCAAAAGTCTTAGTAATTGCAAGCTTTTCACGGTACTTGCTTTTTTATTATCTTACAAATGTAACCAAAACAAAATGTATTTTTCTAATCCCTATGTAAATAATATGAAAATATTCAACCTATGAGAATAGTGGATAATCATAACGAAACTTCAAAAAATAATTCTATACCAATTTTATGATTGGAGGTTCTGTATAACTAGAAGTATTGCTACTGTTTTTGGCTGCAAAAATGTTATGTGTAGTGTATGTATGAATATTTATGTATCCACATACGTGTGTGTGTGTGTGTGTGTGTGTGTGTGTGTGTGTGTAAAAATCCAGCATTCATCAATATTACATTATAATGTGGAAGTTTAGTGGAAATCCATGTAGATTCCTAGTATCAGTGCATTTTGAAGCCACTACCATATCTTTCAAAGAAACTGAACAATCAGAGCTGACCTTTTTTGAAAGACAAAGTAGATGAAGGCTCTCTTCCTAGGCATGCCTGGGTGCCACAAAAACTCTTAATTGCTTGCATTTCATCCCTTTTCTCTGGGAACCCTACAGTAAGCATCTCGGGCTGGGACTTTTCAATTGTACTGTCTTAAATGAACTTTTAGTTCACTGCAAGTAATAGAATGCTTGTAAAAATGCTTCACTATTACATTTTGGGATCTTGAACCTCAGGAATGTACCTTTTTAGGTGACAAGTGCTTTTAGCAACAGGTATTTTAACTTTGTGAATTGTATTATTTGTCAACTAGTACACAATTAGTCAACAGTCTTTAAATCAGAGCTCCCCAACCTTTCGAGCTTGGCGGTCCAGAAGGAAATGGAGCAGCAGGGAAATGTGTGCGTGTATGCACAAATGGGCGCGTGCATGACAGCAGGGCTAGTGTGTGCCCGCATGCATAAGCGGGCTGCATGCACCCATGGCATGTGCGCTGGCACCCATGTGCATGCACAAATGATCTGCTGGCACCCGTGTGACACGGGCAGTGGTGCTAGTGTCCCCATGCATGTGCAAATGGGGCTACTAGCACCCGCATGATGCTACCGCAAGTGGGGGGGGGCTTGCCAGCTATTCCCAGGGCCCTGTGGCCAACAGGCCATGGCCTGGTACCAGGCCGCGGACCATAGGTTGGGGACACCTGATTTAAATAATACTTCAAAGAAGCAGTATCCATCCTAGGCCTTTTTAATGTTGCTTTCTACTGTACCAGTGTTCTGTATCTATCTAATCATTCATACTTAGCTAATTTATGCCTTCAGCTCTCTTGTTTCCAGCCCTTTACTGTATATCTTTATGCCTTCCAAGAAAGGGATTTTTCTTTTAACTAAATTTCCACAGCCTTCATAGCAATTGAGTTAATTTACATCATTCTCTGAATAGAGAAGAGCTAAGTAATCTTGCAGAAATTGTCAGACCTCCCTAATAAAAAAATATCCTGAGATCTAGGATAGGTTTTAGGGAGAAGTCAAGACAATAATCTTTGATGCAGCTTTTATATATAAGTTCAAATCTACATCCTGGGTTTTTATAACATAGAAATTCTAACACTAAATCCATTCTGGATTTAGGACATACAACACAAAGACTGTGATAAGCAATTGACAAAATATATCTCTTTTTAGCTATTTAAAAAACCACTTACATTTGCATTCTTACATTCTTAATTCCGTTTGACAGTTAGAGAACAATAAAGCTCAAAGATATAAAACTGGTCCATAATTCAGGCTAGGAAATGCATTTTAGCTTTCTATACAACTGAGCTTGTACATCTTTGTGGATATAATGCAGGCCTCTCAATCTCCTTCCTATTCATATCAGATCTATTCTTTCAGTAAAAGAGTTGTATCTCCCTGCATGGTGTGAGTACCTGCTACTGGCTTTTATACATTGCAGCAGTGCAATAAGAAATAAAATCACAGGACTGTAAAATGTATGGCCTTTGAACTGTGCACATGACTGCACATCCTTGCTGATGCTAGTCACTCAGCCCTCTGAGTAATTTTTCTGTGCAGTATGTGCATGTCAGAATCTTTGAGAGACTCATAAAGAAAAGCGCATGTATGAGCTCAGGGAGCCAGGGAAGGAAGGCACTGGTGAGTATATGTAAGCAAGGGAAGGAACATGTAGCGTGGGCAAAGGGGGGAATAGGGAATGATGTGTCTGTAAGAGTGAGTGAAGAGAGCAAAGAAGGTGTGGTACACACAAGCCAACAAAGGTGATGGCAGTAGGGGGAGAGGCACTTTCAAGGGACTTGTGACATTCCCTGTTGGTTTCCCCATTAACTTTGTTTGTGGGAAGCTGGCAAGGAAGGTCACAAATGGCAATCGTGATGGGTACAACTGATTCATCATCACTTCAGATGGTTGCTGAATGAATGGTTATCACTCAAGAACAACCTGTATAGAAATTCAGATCACTTCATTTTACCATCTTACAAAAAAGGCATAAATTATACTAATATGTTACATATCTACATATAAATTAGTCAATTTATGATTTTGATATAATATACATAAAAATCCTTATTTTCTTAAACTGATATCAATATGTAGTTTAATGTAAGACCATATACCCTGCTTTAGCATATCAATTTGTTCTTACATGCTATTACTAAACTAACAACAACAACAATAATAACAATCAAGCAATAGTGCCTTTTCAAATTTCAATTCTTACCAGAAAATTGCAAAGGACCTAAATATGATATTTCTATATTTTTGATTAGTAATTAATAAAATTCCCTGGAATACTATATTCCATAATTTATTAATTTGGGTGCATGGTCAGCAAGTATGTAAAAAGAGACTGTTGTCCTGACAACCTCTCCAATATTCATTTTTTATTTGTATTTATTATGCATACAATTTTTACTGGGGTAAGATCCCAATGATATAACATCTTTAAATATGTTTTAAAATTGCAGGGGGGAATCTAGCAATTGTGTTTTCTACACATATTTCCAGTAATCTTATATTTCTCAAAAACTAATTCCCCTATTTCATTCAAAGACTTTGTATCTCCGCCTGTTTGGTTATATTAATACTTTATATGTTTTCAAGAATGTCCCTTTTTACCATTAAAGCATATATTAAAAAGGGGTTCAATTTCTGCAAATGATCTATTCGATTAGGAAAAAATCTTCTGATTCTCCAAAAACAGTGTTAGTTTGCATCCATTGAAATCAATTTTTTTTTAGCTTTTTCTACCGTCTGTGTTAGCTTATAATACGATTTATACAAATTATATTTTAGCTCATAGTAGAATGCAATTTATATAAAAATCTTTTATATGATGTAGGCTTTTCTTTCCAGCCAGCATATGTTTAATCTTGTCTCTGTTAAAAATATAGGATTTACATTCAATATTAAAAGATCCATATTTGACTTATATGTCTTAAACTTAGTTTTTTGTTTTAAAGATTGCAAATCTTTTCTAAAAATATTGCTTTACTTAAAAATGTACAATCTACATAAATATTTTTTTTATATCCAGCATCTATTTGGGTTCTCCTTTGTTAAAATCATGATTGGCTGTTGACACTGGAATGAATAACAATACAATTTCAAATTTTGAACACTGTATGCTCTCTAATATAGCAACTTCCTTTTTAATTGAGACTGTTGAACAAACACAGAACAGAAAACCATCCTTAGAGTTTTGCAACAGAGAAGAATTTCCCAGAGAATTTGGCAAGTATTGTTTTCAACTT